GGATGCCCTCTGTCACCACTCTTATTTAACATAGTACTGGAGGTCCTGGCCAGAGCAATCAGGCAAGAAAAAGGAATAAAAGGAATCCAAATAGGGAGGGAAGAAGTGAAACTCTCGCTGTTTGCAGATGACATGATCTTATATATAGAACACCCCAAAGAATCCATTGGAAAACTGTTAGAAGTAATCAACAACTACAGCAAAGTTGCAGGGTATAAAATCAATTTGCATAAATCAGTAGCATTTCTATACTCCAGTAATGAACCAACAGAAAAAGAACTCAAGAATACAATACCATTCACAATCGCAACAAAAAGAATAAAATACCTTGGGGTAAATTTAACTAAGGAAGTGAAGGACCTATATAATGAAAATTACAAGGCCTTTCTGAGAGAATTGGATGACGACATAAGGAGATGGAAAGACATTCCATGTACATGGATTGGAAGAATAAACATAGTTAATATGTCCATTCTACCTAAAGCAATCTACAGATTCAACGCCATCCCAATCAGAATCCCAATGACATTCTTTACAGAATTAGAACAAAGAATCCTAAAATTCATATGGGGCAACAAAAGACCCCGAATTGCTAAAGCAATCCTGAGAAAAAAGAACAAAACGGGAGGCATCACAATCCCTGACTTCAAAACATACTACAAAGCTACAGTAATCAAAACAGCATGGTACTGGTACAAAAACAGGTGCACAGATCAATGGAACAAAATTGAAAGCCCAGAAATAAAACCACACATCTATGGACAGCTTATCTTCGACAAAGGAGCTGAGGGCATGCAATGGAGAAAAGAAAGTCTTTTCAACAAATGGTGCTGGGAAAACTGGAAAGCCATACGTAAAAGAATGAAAATTGACCATTCTTTTTCACCATTCACCAAAATAAACTCAAAATGGATTAAAGACCTAAAGGTGAGACCTGAAACCATAAGGCTTCTGGAAGAAAACGTAGGCAGTACACTCTTTGACATCAGTATTAAAAGGATCTTTTCGGACACCATGCCTTCTCAGAGAAGGGAAACAATAGAAAGAATAAACAAATGGGACCTCATCAGATTAAAGAGCTTCTTCAAGGCAAATGAAAACAGGACTGAAACAAAAAAACAACCCACTAACTGGGAAAAAATATTTGCAAGTCATATATCTGACAAAGGCTTAATATCCTTAATATATAAAGAACTCTCGCAACTCAACCACAAAACATCAAACAACCCAATCAAAAAATGGGCTGGAGACATGAACAGACATTTCTCCAAAGAAGATATACTGATGGCCAATAGGCACATGAAAAGATGCTCATCATCGCTGATCATCAGGGAAATGCAAATCAAAACTACGCTAAGATATCACCTTACACACGTTAGAATGACAAAAATATCTAAAACTAATAGCAACAAATGTTGGAGAGGTTGCGGAGAAAAAGGAACCCTCATACACTGCTGGTGGGAATGCAAACTGGTGCAGCCACTATGGAAAACAGTATGGAGATTCCTCAAAAAACTAAAAATAGAACTACCATACGATCCAGCCATCCCACTACTGGGTATTTATCCAAAGAGCCTGAAGTCAGCAATCCCAAAAGTCCTGTGCACCCCAATGTCTATTGCAGCACTGTTTACAATAGCCAAGACGTGGAAGCAACCTAAGTGCCCATCAACAGACGAATGGATAAAGAAGATGTGGTACACATATACAATGGAATACTACTCAGCTGCAAAACAGAACAAAATCATTCCATTTGCAATAACATGGATGGACCTTGAGAGAATTATGTTAAGTGAAATAAGCCAGCGAGAGAAAGATAATCTGTGTATGACTCCACTCATATGAGGAATTTAAAACTATGGACCAAGAACAGTTTAGTGGATACCAGGGGAAAGGTGGGGTGGGGGGTGGGCACAAAGGGTGAAGTGGTGCACCTACAACATGACTGACAAACATTAATGTACAATTGAAATTTCACAAGATTGTAACCTATCAATAACTCAATGATAATAATAAAAAAAAACCACAATGAAGTACCACTACACACCTATTAGAATGCCTAAACTGAAAGACTGACCATACCAGATGCTGGCCAGGATGTGTAGAACACTGGAATTCTCACACCCTGATGGTGAAAGCTGACAAGAGATTTTCACATATTGAGGTATATGGGGTAACTATTCAGAAAGTAGAGTAGTGTTTCCGTGGGGCGGACGGTGAGAACAGGGTTTAACGACAAGCGGCACGAGCTATCTCATGCAGGTGAAGGGTATTTTCTAACACTTGCTGCTGATGGTGTAACTCAGTAAATTTAATAAAAATACTTAACTGAACATTTTAAATGGGTACATTTTAAGGTAGACACCCCCAATCCCTACAGGGCCATTCAGCAGCTGGCTGCCGGCCTCCTAAGAGAGAGGCGTCACAGTCCTGAGGGGACTGAAGTGTGTAGCACAGGGGCCTAAAGGTGCAGGTGGCAGGGGGGAATTCCTGCAGCCAGCTTCCCGTGGGGAGGCTTCTCTTCTGAACACCTCCATTCCTGCCCAGGGTCTCAAAGACACAGAAGCTGGCATCTCACCTCTAAGGGTCCAAGGTGCATGGCTTAAGTCCCTGGGTGAGGAAACAGAGTGGTCATGTGTTGTCATGGCTTGAGAATTAATCCATGGCCTCTGCAGTGTCTTCTATAGAAAAGGCTGTGACAACTAATGCACCTGCTGCTATCAGCGGCAAAGCCTTCTCACAGGACCCTTCCTAAGTACAAGAGGACTGGCAGTGCAGTGTCCCCATTAGTCCAGGGAGGAGAGGAAGACAAGGTGTGGAGGAGCCCTTGATGTCTCTCCAACGTCTACTACCGTTGTGTAATAGATGCTCAACAAAAAGCAGCTGTTCTGATTTATTACAACAAAATCCCCTTCATTTCTGTGAGGGGTGTCTGAGAAAGTCAAGTTTGCCCTGAAATTCTCCACCTTTTGCAGGTGCAGACGTACCATGTGACAGGTGCTTCAAATCCAAGATCATGTCTAATTTTCACATTATTCTCCAGGTCTCAGCAGGGAGAGATTGCCCTCTTCACTCCACAGCACAGTCTTAACCTGTGAGTTTCTGCTACCGTCCACATTGCTGTACGGGCCTGAACAGTTGGACACAGGTGCACACTAGATCTTTACTGGTCAGTAGTCATTTCTAGTATGATTTTGACCCCAGCCCTCCCCTATGCCCCCCTCACGCGCTGCTCCTTTTGTTACTGAAAATTCAGTTTCTGAACCCGGTGCATAGCTTAAGTCCCTAGGTGAGGTAACAGAGTGGTCTATGTCCTGTGTTGTCAAGTCTTGAGAATTAATCCACAGCCCCTGTGGTGACCTGGCTTCCACTCCCAAAATCAGCCCTGGGAAGCCCTAGAATGGAGAATGAAAGTAAATACACACATGCACATAATAACCATTCCCTTATTAGAATGGCCAGAATCTGGTACACTGACAGCACCAAATGCTGGATGTGGAGGAGCTGGAGCAGCAGGAACTCTCACTCATTGCTGATGGGAGTGCAAAGTGGTACAGCCACTTTGGAAGACGGTGTGGCAGTTTCTTATGAAACCAAACATACATGTTCTTACTACATGATCTAGCAATTGTATGGGTATTTACCGAAAAGAGGTGAAAACGTATGTCCACACAAAAACATACACACGGATGCTTAGGGCAGCTTTGCTAATAATTGCTAAAACTTGGAAGCAACCAAATGCCCTTCAGTAGGTGAGTGGGTAAATAATCTGTGGTACATTCAGAGAATGGAATATGAATCAGTGCAAAAAAGAAATGAGCTATCAAGGCATGAAAAGACATAGAAAAACCTTAAGGACGTAGTACCAATGAAGAAAGCCAATCTGAAAAGGCTGCCTACTGTACGAGTTCAACTATACGAACATTCTGGAAAAGGCAAACGATGGAGCCAATCTAAAGAGCAGTGGTTGCCAGGGGTTGTGAGGGGAGGGCGCAACAGGCAGAACACAGGGGATTTTTAGGGCAGTGAAACACCTCTGGATGACACTCTAACGATGGACACATGTCATTATACATTTGTCCAAACCCATAGAATGTAGAACACCAAGTGAGAACCGTAATGTACATGATGGGCATTGGGCATAGAATGTGGCAATGTAGGTTCATGATTACAAGAAATGTCCCAGTCTGGTGGGGGATGTTGATAATGAGGGAGGTGATGCAAGCGTGGGGGCAGGGGCTAAGTGGGAAATCTCTGTACCTTCATTTTCATTTTTCTGGGCACCTAAGAGGCTCTAAATAAACTCTTCAAAAACAATACACAATATGAAAAACAATATCTAAACAACCAAACAGGAGAAAGCCCTGGGGGAGACTGCAGACTGCAGTGAGCTGGTACTTGTGTTTGGGTGGGGTCGCGGGCAGCGGGAGCCAAGTTGGGAGGGGCTGTAGGCTGCATAGATGCAGATAACGGGATGGGGAGGAGGAAAGGCTTCAAACTTCTGTTCCTGCTTCACTGCACACATCTGAAGCAGGCCCTCAGGCCACACAGGCCAGTGGCCCTGGGGCAAAACCAGGACAGCGGGAAAGATGGGTCCATTAAGGCATTTGAGTCCAGAGTCTGTGCTAACAACCACCTGAAACCATCTTAGCGCGTGAGGATGGTTCTTTCAAAAGAATCTCACTTTAATAGAATATAAGAATAGACAAGAAACAGAATAGCGAATATCAGACCTAATTCTTTCATCAAATAAGTATATACATATATATATAGTCTATATATATCTATAAATACATAATAGGAACATACGTGCATATACATGTGCATAGCTGCATACTCCTGTGATATGTACAAACAGGTGTCTAGAAGCACATATAAGTTACAAATGTGTTCTAGATGTAGATACAGGGCTCCCGCAGCGGGCAGACATGTACAATGTATTTCTTACTAGGAAGGAGGATAAATGAGTGAAAATCCCTGCACTGAGCACGCAATAGAAGGTCACCATAAACCCGGAGGAGCATCTCGAAGCCACCGCCGCTGCTCAACCTGGACAGGACAAACGCAATCCGGAAAAGAAATGGCTCGCTGAGTCCGGCTCGCTGGTGCCGAGACCCCACGGGAAGGGGGCTTCTCCCTTGAACCCCTCGGCCCTGGGCGCGGCAGCCCCCATCCAGCCCTTCCCCAGGATGGCAGCCCTTCTCAGCCAGGGTGGACGAGGACCCTCCCGAGGGAGGCCGGAGGGCTGCCCCCGCCCCAAAGCACAGGCCCACAGAAGCCCCGTGCCCCTCCTGTGCGCTCTGGGGGACCCAGGGCAGGACTGTCAGCCGAGGGCTACCCGCCCCCTCCGCAGCCAACCGGGGGTCAGAGCCTGGGGGTGAGGGGTGCAGACAAACGCGGCAGGCGCAGGGCTGAGGCCAGGCCAGAGTCAAGGGGAGGAGCAGAGCACGGTCGAGGAAGCCGAGGATCCTCTGCCCCTGCCATCAGCCCCGGGAGACCCCTGGCCACGGTGGCCGGATGTGACGTCCCCTGGCTTCCGCCTCGGAGGTCTGGGAGCACCGAGGGCCTCGCTGATGCAGGCCGGATTCGGGGCGGCAGAGGGAAGGAGCCCAGGCCAGGCCAGGTGCCCAGGGAGCCCCGGGAGGAAGGACTCCGGGCCCACGGCGTCCAGGTCTGCCCCCGCCATCAGCCCTGAGGGACCATGGGGGAAGTGGGATGGACAGGCTGAGCCCCCGTCCCCCTCCTCAGAGGAGCCTGCTGGGGAGGGCCCGGGGGAGGGAGCGGACTCAGGGACAGAGGCGGGGCCAGGCCCTGCTGGGGGTCAGGGAAGGAGCAGAGGGTGGCCAAGGACCCCAGGGACTAACCCCCCACTGGCCCCTGCCCTCAGCCCTAGGCGTCCCTGGGCTTAGTGGCTTGAGGTGACCCTCACAGCCTTCCCCAGGGGGTCTCAGGGGAGTCAGGGCCTCAGCTCCACAGAGGGAGGGTCCCAGGACCTGCCAGGGCTCAAGCTGAGGACCCCGAGGGAGGAGAAGAGGACCCCGCAGAAACACGCCCTTGCCGTCAGGGCCGCGAGTCCCTGCGGCGCTATTACCAGAGGCGGCCTTTCCCGCCTTCCGCATCCGGGTCTCAGAGAGACTGGGGACTGGGTCAGAGAGCAGCGCCTGAGGGGCCAGAGGGGGGCGCCCAGGGCCTGCTGGAGTCCCGGGGAGACGCCGAGGGAGGGCTGAGGACCCTGGACCCCAGGACAGAGAGGGAGCCTGTGGCCCTGCGCTCGGGCTTGGGAGGCCCCAGAGAGGGCCACCTGAGGAGGCGTTTCCAGCCTTCTGCCTCCGGAGTCTTCAGGGGGTGAGGACTGTGACTTCAGGTCAGCCGAGGGTGGGGTCCCCGGACCCCGAGGGAGGACTGAGCAGACCCCCCGCCCAGACATAGGCGACCCCAGCAGAAATCTGCCCCTGTGGTCAGTCCTGCGAGGCCAGGCAGGATGTCAGGAGGGGTGGCCTGTCCACTTCCTGCTCGGTGTCTCAGTGGCATGGTGGCCTTGGCCTGCAGGATGCTGCCTCAGGTTAGCAGAAGGGAAGGGTCCAGGCCTGGCCAGGAGTAACTAGGAATACCTTGAGGACTCTGAGGGGACTCCCACCCCAGGCAGAGGGGGGCCCACTGAAATCGGCCCTGCCCCTGTCACCCTGAAGACCCCAGGCAGGGGTGGCGGCAGGTGGTGCAGCCCACTCACCTCTGCCTCGGGCTCTGCCAGGTGAGGCCTTGTTCTGTGGGGCGACGGCGGGTCAGCAGAGGGAGCCACATCTGGTCAGCAGAGGAAGGGGTCCCGGATCTGCCCGGACTCCAGACAAGGAGCCTTTGGGAGGAACGGAGGGCATGGAGGTTCCCCCCACCCCAGAAGAGAAGGGACCTCACAGAGGCCAGCTTCCCCTGTTCTCGGCCCAGGGAGGCCCCGGGGCAGGGAGGGCTGGAAGTGGCCTGCTCCGACTTCCGTCATATGGTTGGGGATGGGGGATCTCAGGGAGGTGAGGCCTTGGTCTGAGGGGAGATGGCAGGTTGGCCAAGGGTGGAGTCCCAGGACCTGTTTGGTGTCAAGGTGAGGACCCTTCCTGAGGACTGAAGGTACCCCCACCTCAGCAAAGAACGGACGGCACAGAGTCCGGCTGTCCCCTGTTCTCAGCCCTGGAAGCAACAGTCAGCGGTGGTCCCACATGGCACGCTCACTTCTAGCCTGGGCGGGAAGGTGGGGGTCCTCAGGAGGAGAGGGCCTGGTCTAAGGGGGAGATGTCAGCTGTCCCAGGCGGTGGGCTGCGAGGAAGGGCAGGCCCCGGCAGGAGGAAAGATGAATGACCTACAGGAGGTCTGGGGGAGCCCCCATCCCAGGACATCGGGGCTGGTCCCTGCTGCCACCTTTTGTGATGGCAGCAGGGGTGCGGGTGGGTGGGCGTGCATGTGCAACCTCCTCTGGTTTCTCTCAGAAGCTCAGGGAGGTGAGGACCTTCGTCTGTGAGGACAACGTCAGGTCATCTGAGGAAGCACATCTGGTCAGCTGACACAGACTCCAGGAGTCAAGGACCCCGAGGGAGGAGTGAGTGTACCCCCATGGCCAGGACAAAGAGGGGGCCCACGGAAATCTGGCCTGGCCCTATTGTCAGCCCTCGCACCCTGGCAGGGCCTGTCTGGCTGAGCCCCTCCTCATTTCCAGGTCGGTGGTCTGGGGAAGGGGGCAAGGGCCCTGGTCTGAGGGTCTGGACTCAGGTCAGGGGAGGCAGGATCCCAGGCCCTGGCCGGGGTCACGGTGAGGACTGAGGGGACCCCACACCCCAGGACGCATGCAGCCCAGGACAGTCCTACCCTGCTGTCTGCCATGGGGACACCCGGGATCGGTGGGTGGATTCAGTCCCCCTCACTTCCCCTTCCAGTGTCTTCGGGAAACCAGGCCTTGGCCGAAGGAGGGTGGCCTCAGGTCAACAGAGGGAGTTGACCCAGGCCCTGCAGGGTGTCAGGGTGATGACAGCGGACCACCCATCCCAGGACAAATGGAACCCACAGAGTTTGGTCTCCCTTCTTGTCCCTTGCTGTCTCCTGTTAGCCCCAGGGCAGGTGTGGCCAGATGTGGGGTCCCCTCACTTCCTTCTGCTCAGTTTCAGGGGTCTGTGGTCTTGTTCTGAGAAGTTTGCCTCAGGCCAGCAGAGGGGTGGGGCCCAGGCCCAGCCAGGGGAAAGGTGAGGGCCCTGAGTGAGCTTGGAGGGGACTGCCCACCCCAGCACAGTGGGGACCTCACAGAGTCTGGCCCACCACTCCTGTCGGCCCTCGGATCCCAGGGCTCTGCTTGCCGTCTGCACCCTGAGGTGCCCCGTGTTTCCTCGTCCAGGAACCTGGAGGTGAAGGCCTTGAGGCTCGTGTGCTCAGGTCACAGACCAGAGGAGCCCCAGGCAGTGCCAGGAGTCAAGGCAAGGGACACACCCCAAATGTGCATCCAGGGGTGCCCCCACACCAGAACCGAGGAGACCCTGCAAACCCCGAGACCACCCACCCCAGCCCACCAGCAGCCCCAGAACCTCGGGCTGTGCTTGGTCCTCCCTGAGGAGCCTTCTCACTTCCTCCTTCAGGTTCGTGGGGACAGGCTGCACTGGAGGACAGAGCCCTGTGAAGCCGAGAGCACCCCTAAAAGGAGGCCCGTAAGTCACCTCTGTCAGAGCCGCCAAGGGTGCATTTCTCACCTAAGGCTGCTCACACTCCCTCTCCCCCCAGGCCCGTGGGTCCCCATTGGTTGCCTCCTGCCCACGCTCCTGTCGGCTGCCCTGACAGGAGTCGTCATGCCTCGTGCTCCAAAGCGACGGCGCTACATGCTTGAGGAAGGCCTTCAGTCCCAAAGCGAGACGCAGGGCCCAGTGGGTGCACTGCTTCCTGTGGCTGTGGAAGAGGATACTTCTTCGTCCTCCACCTGCTCCTCCTCTTTCCCCTCCCCTTTCCCCTCCCCCTCCTCCTCCTCTTCCTCTTGCTATCCTCTCTTGTCGAGCACACCAGAGGAGGTTGATGATGTCGCTGGGGCCCCGAGTCCTCCCCAGAGCCCTCAGAGTGCCCGCCCCTCCCCCACTGCCATGGCCTCCCCTCCACTGAGCCAGTCTGAAGACGACAGCTCCAGCAGCCGAGGAGAGGAGGGTCCGAGCACCTCGCAGGCCCTGCCATACACTGCGTCCTTTCCCAGAATTGTGATTGATGGCAAGGTGGCTGAGCTGGTGGAGTTCCTGCTTGTCAAGTATCGCACAAAGGAGCCGACCACAAAGGCGGAGATGCTGAATACGGTCCTCAGAGATTACCAGGACCACTTCCCTGTGATCTTCAGTGAAGCCTCTGAGTGCATGCAGCTCGTCTTTGGCGTTGACGTGAAGGAAGTGGACCCCAGCGACCACGCCTATGTCCTGGTCACCACCCTGGGCCTCACCTACGATGGGATGCTGAGCGATGAGCAGAGCATGCCCAAGACTGGCCTCCTGGTGATGCTCCTGGGCGTCATCCTCCTGCGGGGCGACCGTGCCCCTGAGGAGGACGTCTGGGAAGCACTGAGTGTCATGGGGGTGCGTGCCGGGAGGGAGCACTTCATCTATGGGGAGCCCAGGGAGCTTATCACTAAAGTTTGGGTGCAGGAGCAGTACGTGGAGTACCGGCAGGTACCCAACAGCGATCGTGCTCGCTACGAGTTCCTGTGGGGTCCCAGGGCCCACGCTGAAACCAGCAAGATGAGTGTCCTGGAGTTTTTTGCCAGTGCCATTGGGAGTGACCTCAGGTCCTTCCCAGTGTGGTATGAGGAAGCTTTGAGAGATCAGGAAGAGAGAGTTCAGGCCAGAATTGCCAGCACGGATAACGCTACTGACACGGCCAGTGCAAGTTGTAGTACTGTGCCCGGTAGCTCCTCCTGCCCTGAGTGAAGTCTAAAGCAGATTCTTCACTCTGTGTTTTAGGAAGGCAGTCAATGATCTAAGCAGTGGAGGGCCAGGCTGGGGCTGAGGGTATTATAGGGCATAACAGCTTTGTGTTCCTGTTCCATAGGGGTGACTTTGAAATGTATCATCATCTTTTTCTTTCTGCTTTTCTTCTTATTTGTGGTGAGGAAGATTGGCCCTGAACTAACATCAGTTGGCAATCTTCCTCTTTTTGCTTGAGGAAGATTGTCCCTTAGCTAAGATCTATGCCAGTCTTCCTCTATTTTTTGTACGTGGGACGCCACCACAGCATGGCTTGATTAGCAGCACATAGGTCTGTGCCAGGGATCCAAACCCACGAAAACTGGGCCACCAAAGTGGAGAGCACTAACTGAACCGCTACACCACCTGGCGGGCCCCTCTTCTTTTATTTTTTGCATTTTAAAATGTTGTTACTTTTAATTGAACATGTGTTAGCTTCCAATCTAAGTTTATGAATGACATTGGTCACACGTTTATTGCTATTTATCCAGTTTAAAAGAAAGTTTTGCTATTTTGTGAAAAAATAAAAGAGGAATCCCTTCTGTTTTATTTCTTCTGTAACAAGATAACTTGACATTGGAATAGGAATTTCATTGGAAATGTGAAAGAACTTAGGAGTAAAATAGAGAAAAAATTTAAATGGTTCATTTTTGAATTATCATTTTTAGACTATCATTGTGTAAAATGAAGAGATATATACCAAGATTTTCTTAACTTATCCAAGAATGTAGAAGAAATTAAATAGTAGCAAATCAACTCTCTGCTCACTGGCTCATTTCTTCCCCAGACATTCACTGAGCCTCTGCTCTCTGGTGGCGCTGTGTCAGCTGTGGGGACACGAGGGTAAGCAGGGCCCCCTCACAACCATAGAATGAGAGTCTAGGAGCCGCAGTCCTAGAAGGAAGATGGTGAGATCTCCCCTCCAGGACAAGTCAAAGAAGGTGGGAGGTGGTGCGGCCCCAGGGGAGCGCACTCACGTGTAAACGCCCCGAGTCAGGGCAGTGTGGGGCTTTGGGAAACTGTGATTCCTTCTGTGGGAGTTGGTTGTCATGAAGCTCGGTGGTGGCAATGGCCAGACTCACAGTGTGTCTTAGGGCTGAGGGGCAAGTCTGAAATGGAAAATTTCTCTGAAGAGTTTCTTAGGGATCACAGGTAACCAGAGAGAAATCTCCACCTGGGCAGGAGGGGAAGGTGTCCTGGGCTCTTGTCGTGTTGCAGTTGAACGCAGTGAAGAACGGCGAGTTTGACATCCATTATCTGTAAGGATTTCACAAGAAATACGGTGACATTCCTTTGAAGTGATGCCCAGAAGTCAGTGGCCTGGCACTCCTCTCCCAGGCCTGGGAGAACCAGAGCCCACAGCATAAATTAGGTGTTAATCTTAATTGAGTTTAATTGGCCAATTGTAATCAAGGGCTAGATTTTGGTGGGGTGAAATGAAAGGAAGTAGTGGTCTGGATGAAGAGCAGCTTGGAGGGAGGCAAGGAGTCGGTCCTTGACTCTGTTTCTAGGAGCTCTGTGTTCCATCCAGCTGGGAAGACTCCCCCACCCCCGAATTTTCACATATATCCTCTAGCTGGGAAGATCTACTGAGTTTCATTTGTGAAACATCCTTTTTGGCTGATTAGTTATTTCGTGTCCTGTTGAACTGCATGTTCTCTAATACGACCTGGACAACAAACAAACAAAATCCCAGAGGAGAGAGTGGAAGGTCTGGAATCAAAATAATCCAAGAAATAACTGCCAGTCCTCAAAGTTCCCATGTATACCAGGCACTGTGCCAGGTGTTTGCCACACATCCCATCCGTTCCCGCAGTCCTACAAGACAGGGCTCACCAACCCACTGCCTTCGCAGAGGAAGAGCCCGAGGGTCATAGCGCTTGGGTCATAGCGCTTGGTAACTTTCCCAGGATCACATGGCTAGTAAGTGACAGACAGACTAGACAACGGTCTGGATTCATCTAGAGCCCACGCTGTTGCCACCCATCCCAGCCTGCAGCCCACCTTCTGACTCCTCATTCATTTCTCTTCTCAGTTCTCCATGATGTCTCTAAGGTGACAAAATTAGGACCCTGAGGCCCAGGTAGTGAAAGCAGGCCTAAAGAAGGAAGGCAACAATGAGATTCAAATACAATTTGGGGATGCTCTGAGGCTTGTTGAGAGCTGACTCCTCTGGGTGTCGCCATTTCTGTCCAGTCCCAGCACTTTTCTGCATGACAGCACCCTTCCCCTGGTCTTCCCCCGTGCGCCTTCCTGTCCAACTCTGGAACCTGGCTGGCTGACAGGGTTTTTGCTGCCGTCCTCTCTGAAGGCTGCACAGAACCTCCTGCCCTCCCCCTGACACAGAGCATTCCTACTCCCTGCAGGGGTCCCCGGGCCCCCCCATAGCTCTCCCTCGATCCCGGAGAGCCACAGCCCCTTTCATGGAAAAGGTTGCTCCGGACTGTGACATTTAGACACCTGGTCATTACTCCCTGGGAGACTTCGACACACTCGCTGTTTCCAAATGGGCTGTGAGTAGAGTGTGATGGCGCCTGTAATCTACTGGGACCTGGGATACAACCCTGAAGTTACATAGAGGGTTTGTGAAGCCATCCGGGTGCTTGCAGTAGGACTTTCACAGGCTACTTATTTGATGCTGGGAACTGAACACATACACAGATGAAAGAGCCGGTTTAGGTGGTCAGAAGTTAAAGCCTCATCACAAGCGGTAGATGAGGAGGAATCACCACTGAAGCCGAATTCCTACGAACCCTGGAATCCTCCTAGGAGGTGAGAAATGCTTCCCTGGTGGACATGTTAGGTCAAATTTACAAAGAAAAAAGAAGTGTTCTCCCACTGTCTCTTGTCTGGTACCTGCCGTGCAGGAAAGTCCTGGCTTTCAGTGAGCGTGAGGGCACCTGTGCAGGTGTTGAGGGAAGTTCAGTCATGTGGAGGGTAGCAGAGACTCCCAGGTTAAGATTTCACCCCTGCATCAGAAGGAAGCCTACTGAGATTATAGACGGTATCGCAAAGGCAAACCCTCCCTGCTGAGATTGACAGGATCCTCTTAAAATGAGATGTGGTTCTGTATTTGAGAGCATCTGTTGCATAGTAGGCACTTAACACTTCAGAGAATTTCAAGGCAAATGTGACCTCAGAAACTCCTCCACACAATGAACACGGTTGTCGTCATGACAAGTTATAATGGTTGCTTTGTGTTGAACATCTACTATGTAACATGACGTCCTGTTCAGTGCTCATCCATATCTTGTCTAGCTGTCTTTCCTGGACACAGGAGAAACTACATTGCCAGGCCACTTGTAGTTATGGAGGGTCATGTGACGACCCTTTGCCAGGGAGACCTGAGCAGAAACATTGTTTGTCACATCCAGGCATTTGAGAGCCGGTATGCCAGTTCCATGCTCTCTCTCTCTCAATTCACCAGTAAACATGGTGACCCCGTGTTGGGATGGTGGAACCACAAGATGGAAGCAGCCTGGATCCCTGGGTCACCTAGAGCGGAAGGCCCCTGGCAAACCACATCAGAATTTATGTGCACAACAAATACGCTTTTCTTGTGTTAGCCTTTCAAATGTCAGGGTTGGCCTGTTGTATCAACTAGCAGTGGCTTTGACACAGCTACTTTTCTATTGTGAGGTTTATATAAGTCTTTTAATTGCAAAGGTAGCAGTGAATGTGTTCCTATTGCTAAAAATTCTAAAAATACAGATAAATCACAGCATTCCCTTTTCAAAGTTTCTCCACAATCCAGCCTCCTGCTCAGAGGTCACCACAGTTAAAAGTCTACTGTGGGTTATTTTGAAGCCATCCATGGTCTTTTCCATAGATAGATAGATATGCTATGAAAACATATTGTTTTATTCCACGTCCATAGGGTCTGATGTACATATTGATCTGCCTCTCGCCTCTGTCACTTGATAAAAAGGATGGAGGGTCTTCCCCTGGCAGCACATGCAGATCGACTTCACTTTTGAAACTGCTCCCTGGAAGCTAAAGTATGTATGTACCAGAACCAATTACATAATTTCTTCCTGCTGAATGGCTGTTTTCCCTTTGTTGTATGATTAATGAAATGAAATCAACAACTTTGAATAGGAATTCTTGGGTAGACATGAATGTTTGCTAAGAAGATAAGCATACTAACATAGACATTGCGTTAGAGTGGAAAGGGAGTGACTAGTTTAACATTTTACCAAAACTTCTCACATTTTACTCCCAAAATGCTATACCGATTTGTATTCTCATAAAAATCACAAATGATTTAACATTCTGAAATGTCAATAAGCCATTTTCCCTTTACTTTGAGAAGGAAGGATTTGGTCAGAATGACCAGGAGCCAGGGAGGGGGACCAGACAGGACACCCTCAGCTAGTGAGGGGCATTGAGAGCATGCCGTGGAGAGCGAGTGCCAGCATCCAGGAGAGAGACCAAGCGCAAAACCAAGTCCAGGGAGCCCCGGGCAGGCTGGCAGTCAGGGCCCTGTGTCCAGAGTTCAGTGTAGGGGGAAAGGGACCTGAAGGAGAGAAGGTGGGGAGAGGGAGGGGTTCAGGACAAGGAACACGAGTAGGCGGGGGAAGTCTCTGAATCATCCTCACCAGCTGGAGGTTACAGAGTGGTCTGAGTGGGCAGGTCTACTGGATGAATGGGCCAGCGGCACCCAGACCCCCCACTAACTTAGAGTCCCCCTACCTCTCTCAGGAAGAGTACCCCTGGCTCCCTGCATCATTCGGGTGAGCTTCATCTCTTGACTACTCGAGTGGTCCAGAGCACTCTTGCCAGGGTCCCAGGGCAGGGAGCTGTCATGAAGCCTGCTGGGGGCTGGGGACTGGGGTCTTTCCCCGTGGGTGCAGTGCAGCCATACATAGAGGTTGGGGCTTTGTGAGTGAGTGGGGTTGGTGACTGAGGACCGAAAGCTGAGAGAGGCCAGGAATAACCATGAGCAGTGGAAGGGAGGGTGCAGCTGCAAGGAGGGTGAAATTGGGAAGGGCAAGCGGGGGACTCATCACCTCAGACTCTGCAGATGAAGGGCTGGGTGTGGACAGGCTTTAAAAAACTGTCCAGATGGTGCCCCTGGCTCAGACTGCCTCCCAGGGTAGGTGTCCTGTGGCTATGACGGCTGCCCTACATTGCCGCCAGATACTGTCTGTGATAGAGGATTGGCCCAATGTGCAGACATTTGCAGGGTGGATGGAAAACCCGTGGAGGTGGCACCCTTCCTCGTTAAACTGATGGGGATGTGTGTGGGCCAACGCAGGAAGCGCTGTGGACCATCCTGTTGAGAGCATCCCCACCTCTAAGATGGTGTTTGGGCCTGGGGAGGACACGTCCATAAGGACACTCCCAGTAAGCGTTTCCCGTGGGAATTCTGAAGTTACATGAGCAGTTGCGCACTTTGTACTTGTTCCATGGAGGCAGGAGGCTCAGGCAGGGAGCAGGCCGCACGTTGTAAATCAGCAAATGGGACCCTCCAGTAATTATTCCTCTGATTGGTGGGTTTCTGGTTGAGTACAGGCATATATATACATGCCATCTCGAGTTACTTTTGACACTCTGCTCCTGGCATCCTTGTCAAGGCTGAGCATACATCCACCAACACGCAGACACGTACTTCCTCGAGCCTTGGTTTGGGCAGCTGGCAGCTCTGCAGGCACTAAAGCTGCTCAGGACAAACGGAGCAAGGGGCTGGAGGCAACCTTGGGCCCAGGGACCTGGAGGCTAGGATTCCATGAATCCATCCTATCCCTTTACATCTG